AAGACGCCCACAACTGGACAAAGGCATCCTCCGATTTTCATAACCACAGGTCCTGCGCTCCGTATCCAGGTGATTGACGCGACTAATGCCCGTTTTCACCATCAATCCCTAATTTTTAAGTGACCCCTATGGTAACATATAACAGGCATTTTGTTTTCATATGGGTCACTTAAAAATTAGGGATTGATGGTGGATTAGGGATGGACACCTGGATACGGAGCGCAGGACCTGTAGTTATGAAAATCGGAAGATGCCTTTGCCCAGCTGTGGGCGTCTTTTGTTTAAAAATGTTGAAATGACTAACGACGTAAAAAAGTAACTATTGGGTAACCTTTGATATTCCCCTGTTCTAATAAAAGGTTATTTCCAGATACTCCTGATGCACATATCGTCAGTGGAGCGACTGCCGATCACCACAACTGGGTCCCCTCTCCTGGTCCGCACCAAGACGTTCCAATCTGTGTTTTTCGTCATCCCACGGGAGCGCGACTGCCATGAGATGCACCAGACGCTTCTCAGGCTGAGTCAACCTGGTATGTCAATTTTGAGAATCATTTTCTACTTTATTGCTTTGTATTAAGGTTATAATCGTAATTTCTTCAATCCGGATTAATAAGGATAATCTTAAAGTAAGTGATAGCAAAGATGGATATGAATGAGCTGTGAAGTGAGCAGAGAAGAATAGAAACACCCTCACTCTACTAAAGGACAAGTATGCGAACTTCAGGACACCCCATCCCGTTTGGTCAACCTGGGAAGTGGAGGCCAAATCCTTCATTTGCTTTTGGTAAATTAAAGAGGGTCGTGCTCCTGCTATGGAGACTAAGAGTAGGCGGACACCGTTGATTTTTAGTTGGCCGATAGTTGTGCCCGATTTTGAATTGCATGAAGAATCGGCCAAATCGAATCGGCGTAGTGTGCGCACTCCCATACATGCCCATACCTACTGATCAACTGCCCGACTAAACTATCGGCCGACAAAAAATCAACGGTGTGCGCCTACTCTTAATGTCCTGATGATCATGTTAAAAGGGTCAAAAATATGTTATTTATGGAGATTTGACGGTGGCGCTTTTAGAAGCCTTGAAGAATCAAGTTATTTTCTTCCTTTTCTCTTTCATCATCATTATTTCAGCCATAGGACGTCCTCTGCTGAACATAGGCCTCCCCCAATGGTTTCCACAATGGCCAGTAGGTGGCGGCCTGCATCCAGCGCCCTCCCGCTACCTTTAAGTAAACGAACTAAAGTCGCTGACATAGCTCAACGGATTAGCAAGCTGAAGTGGCAATAGGCAGGGCATATAGTACGCAGAACTGATGGCCGATGGGGCAGCAAGGTTCTGGAGTGGATGCCACGTACCGAAAAGCGCAGCGTAGGACGTCCACCCACGAGGTGAACCGACGACCTTTCTCTTTGTTAATCGCTAAATTCTCTTTTCAGTTCACATAGATGAGCTGTACTGTTTCCACTACAAGTCTACTCCAGACGACCTCCCGAAGTCGGCCGGGTGGAACTTCTTCGACATACAGACAGAGTTCCAGAGGATGAACGTCCCCAACGAGCAATGGGTTCTGTGCACAGCTAATAAGGATTACGAGGTACATTTCAAATGTATAGTCTTATCACACTTTAATTTTATTACTTTATTTACCTATCTAATTAGATCCAAAAATGATTAATAAATAATAATTTAAACTTGCTAACGCTTAACATACACAAGGCGTCCGGGGGACTCTTTAAGAATCAGTACAGTGATACCAGTATCACTGTACTGATTCATTCAAGTCATGCCAGCATGACTTGAATGAAAAAGTAAATTAATTTGTAAAGATGCACAAAATCTATTCGTATATGTAAGAGGCCATTGGCAAATATTTACTCTGTTATTATGATTGCTGCTTTTTAAAGAAACTCTCTTCTTATCACTGCGAGACCTGTCGGCCAATCACAAGTTACAACCCGATCGAGCTAACTGCGCATCTCACTGGAATGCGACTCCACCTCTTACTTACTCGCACACCTCCCCGCGTTCTCCCCGTCCCGCACCGAAGCGTCGATGTGACGTCACGCCCGCCAGGTGCGCAGTTAAATCGTTCGTACGTTCGTTTCAGCCGAAAGACGTCCACTGCTGGACAAAGGCCTCCCCCAAGGATTTCCACAAGGACCGGTCCTGCGCCGCTCGCATCCAGGCACCACACAGTTAAATCAAGGCATCAGACAGTTAAATCGACCGGGTTGTATTTACTTATTTATAATCTTTATTGCACACACAATAAATATCGGTACAACAGGCGAGCTTAATGCCATGTGGCATTCTCTTCCAGCTAACCAAAAAGTTAAGTCAAAACAGAGAATTTGAGTAGGCCGTGAAAATAAATTGCACCTCCCGCGACAAGCACTTTGAAATGTATGCATCCCCACTTCCCATCAACATTGGTACCATTTAAAAGCCTAGTTCTAAATTTCATTTTATTAAAGGAAAAGTTTTTACCCCAAAAATGTATCTTTAGAAGGATCCAGAGTCACTTCTTCAAAAAATAGGTACAGTTATGCTTGAGCCAACTTTTATGGCTATAAAACTGTTAAGTTGGGATTAATCGCTATCCATCTGTTAAAGAGGACACGTGTGATCATTAGTTGGTTTTATAACCATAAAATTTGGTCTAATTGATCCCAAAGGTGAGCCCAAAGTGAGGTCTTTTTTCAAGTCACATTTATTAAGAAATTAAATGTGTTTTTCTGTAAGGATATTTATTGGGCTTTCAAATAACACCAATATTGTTGGGGCACCATGATTGTGTGGCGTCGCGGAAGGTGCGGCTTATTTGATGTTGAGTGTAGTACAAATAAAATGACTTATTAATTTAAAAGGTGTGTTGTTTTCCAGCTGTGTGATACATATCCCAGTGAGATCTACGTTCCCGCACGCGCGTCGACCGCCGTACTGCTGGGCAGCGCCAGCTTTAGATCCCGCGGCCGGCTGCCGGCGCTGGCGTATCTGCACCACAACAAAGCGGCTATCGCGCGCTGCAGCCAGCCTCTAAGCGGGTTCTCTGCTAGGTGAGCAATATAGGTCTAGCTAGATCCTTTCGCTTGTTATAGTCGGCGTTAATAACACTGGAGCGGGTTCTATGCTAGGTGAGTAAGAGCCAGCGCTTACCAGGCGAAAACGCTGACCTGACAAACGCTGCTAGAGCAGTTTACCGGTTCTCGAGTTCTCGTTTCTTCTCGTTTGCTAATTTTCAACTTTGACACATCATTTCCAACCGTATAGCACTGCTACTCGGTGCGTTACAGTGCTTGCTAGAATGTGACAATAACACTGACTGCAGCCAGTATCCTCGTGGATTCTCAACTAGGTGCGTCACAGATCTGCAGCCAGCCTCTAAGTGAGTAAGAGCTAGCGCAGACCAGGCGAAAACGCTGACCTGACAAACACTGCAAGAGCAGGGTACCGGTTCTCGTGGCAGCTTTCTTCTTCTCGTCGTTTCCAACCGTATAGCACTGCTACTCAAAGTGTTGTAGTACTTGCTAGAATGCGACAATGACGCTGCAGCCAGTCTCCTCGTGGATTCTCAACTAGGTGCGTCACAAATCTTACTACAGTTCTTAATCTCTATGACAGGGTTGGCGCACCAATGGCACGCGTGCCAATGATGGCACGCGACATAATATTTTGGGCACGCCATCAATCACAAATTCGGTAATTCAATAGTAAATAATGTGTTTTGATTATGAGCTATCGTATTTGCCGTCATCAGTTAGTGCCACTGTAGAGTAAGGTCGTGTCACTCACCAGTGGTGCCACTTGATAGCATTAGGTGTTAATTTAATGGCACGTGTCTATGACTACTTCAAAAATTTTTTTAGAATAGTGGCACGTTGATACTTAAAGGTTCGCCATCCCTGCTCTATGGGCTCTCTTGCTAGGTGTGTTACAGTTCTCACTACAGTACTCACTCTCAGCAGGTTCCGACCAGGTCACAGTCCTAAGTACAGTATCTACTTACTCCCAGTGGACTCTCTGCTATGTACGTTACAGTCTTTAGTACAGTACTTACTCTCAGCAGGTTCTCTGCTAACTGCGTTTTAGTTTTTATAGATATTTTGAGACTTTATCGTGGTTTTCCAAAGGGAAACTCGGGCGCGATAAAGTCCTACTATAACAGACCGAAATTCACGCGTGCAAAGCCGTGACCAAAAGCTAGTATGTAATAAAATGTTTAGCACAAAAACTATATAGTATGTAAATATTCTAGTACTCCTGTTCATGTTGCAATAACACAAATGCTACGTAATTAGATAGTTAAATTATTGTTTTTATTGTTTCCACAGATGCATGGAAGACGAACAGATGCTAGACTTGATCCGGCGAGCGAACCCCAACTGTGGTTATATGTATGTCGTCGACACACGGCCGAGGGTAAGTATATTTAAGGCCTGGTTCAGATATTTCAGGTTTCTGGGTAGTTCTCATAGGCGAGGCACTGAAGCGGTAATCGTGCAGTTACGGTGCGATGCAAATGTACAAGAATTAAGAAGGCGCTGGACGCAGGCCGCTACCAACCGGGCAACAGTGGACGTCCTATGGCTGAGATGATGATGATGATGTACGAAAACTGCCCAGTAACCGCGCGATTTTTACCGTGTCTGAACCAGGCCTTATAACTATAATTTAGTTCAGTTATTAATGAAATACCTTAGTTTATAGTTTAAAGGAAGGGTGTGCGTGCACCCAGGTAAATTGGAACCCAAATCCTAGAAACTAATTCACCCAGGTAAACAGATGCGAAAACCTTCTTTTTAGTCGACTCAATTCACATGAAAAATGAAGCTAGGTGAAGTGTTCTCATTTCACCTTGAAACCATTTGTTTCAAGGTGAAATGAGAACACTAAAAATTCCACTTTCTTCACCCAGGTGAACAAAGTGGAATAATCTAATAATAAAATTTGTCTCAAAAGTGGCAAAACATTGCAATTATTGCATTGCTCTTTCAGATAAACGCAATGGTGAACCGGGCAGCGGGGAAAGGCTACGAGAACGAGGCGTTCTACGAAAACATCAAGTTCCAATTCATGGGCATAGGCAACATCCACGTGATGCGCAAGAGTTTGCAGAAACTAGTTGAGAGTAAGTAGAATAGAATAAAAGAAACTTTATGCATAGGTTTAGCGCTTAATTCATGCTTCTACCACACTAACGCGTGCAGATCGCCATCGCTGGCGCGATCAAAGCCAATGACAGGTCGCGCGACCTATGACAGTTCACGCTTCAGTGATAATCTTGAGGTAGGGAGCATTTTTTTTTACGGGGAAAAAATGCGTTCGCATACCTACCCTGCGGGGACAGGGTAGGTTATGTGGGGCTCACCAAGTCAGAAGGACGAGGCATAGCCACTAAAAAGACCCCGGTGCTCCGTCACTCGCCATAAGTGGGAGGAGACTGTGGGTTTCCGGACAAAGCCTTCTCTACCACAGCCCCTCCCGGGAGGTAGGGAGCCTAACCTAACCTAACTTATAGGAGCGACATTGGAGGGGTGACATTGACAGAGCATATAAATCTGAAAAAGATTTTACGTCTCGCTGAAGTTTGACTTTACAAAAGCCGCTCCCATACCTCCGGCACTGATTGATTAGCGCTAGAACTATGGTTCTGTTTACTTGTCACTGTTTAATAGTGTGTGAAAGTGTGTGTTGGAAAAAAGACAGTTCTCGCTGTCGCCCAGAGATGGCGCTGTCTAAAAATTAGGTCGCGGTAACAACGCGCGTCAGCAAATACAAAATGAAACGTTTTGGATTTCAGTCCTATAGCTTGAATATAGCTCAAGTCGAAACTGATATTCGGTCTCGTAGTGTATGGCAAATACTTAGATTTTTAACATATTTTTTCAGCTTGTGAACAAAACAGTCCGACCATGTCTTCGTTCCTCAATGGCTTAGAGTCCTCGGGGTGGCTAAAACACATAAAGTAAGTTATTAATGGTGAAATTCAATTTATTTTTTCCTGTATCTATTCATCTCATCATCAATAGAAAGATATATTTTTTTCATAACGCATTAATGCCGAATTTGGGTGGCTTGGGTTTACTCGCATGTTGATATTTTTAAGCCTCGACCTCGAGTTAAACAAGTAATTACGTATGGTACGTTGAAGTTCCGCTTGACGTCACGGGCCTCTTCTTTTAAACTTTAGCGTGCTTTATCTCTATCATTTTCATTAGTTAGAAAAATTCAATAATATCTGTCAAGTACTTTTTGATAAGTTAATCGACGGATTAATTCAAACTTGCTTTTTTACTTTTTTAGATGCCTAAGGCTACGTTTCCACCAGAGATGTACAAGGATGCGTAGCGAGGGATGAGTTTGTAACGATCCAATAGAATCGCTTCATTTACCGAGGCGAGTTACTTTACGAGGCTACGCATCCTCGCACATCTCTGGTAGAAACCCCGCCCGTATTCACAAACATTGCTATGAGGTCTCACATTGCTCGTGGACGCACAGGGTGACACACGAACCAATCACAGAGCATTCAACGCTGTGCGTTCGATTTGCTGCTTCACTTAAGCAAGCATCGTTCGTGAATACGGGCGATACACTTGTGACTTCATGTTGTTTTCAACAGGTCGATTCTAGACACGTCTTGGTGGATCGCGTGCGCAATAGAGTCGGGCGTCAGTGTGTGCGTTCACTGCAGCGACGGCTGGGACCGCACGGCGCAAGTGTGTTCCTTAGCGGCGCTGTGCCTCGAGCCGCACTACCGCACCATCAACGGCTTCCAGGTCAGTGTGCCATAGAGGTGGGCGTCACTGTGCGTCACGTGCCTCGAGCCGCACTACTTCCAGGTCAGTGTGCCATAGAGGTGGGCGTCACTGTGCGTCACGTGCCTCGAGCCGCACTACTTCCAGGTCAGTGTGCCATAGAGGTGGGCGTCACTGTGCGTCACGTGCCTCGAGCCGCACTACTTCCAGGTNCGGGCGTCACTGTGCGTCACTGCAGCGACGGCTGGGACCGTGTGTAGTTTTGGGTCTGCCATCGGACGAAACGACACATTATGGTTTGGCTCGCGGCTACGAATTTGCCTCAGGACGCGGCGTGCTGCAGTGCCACTCGCTCTGCCTCGGGACGAGGTAATCGCTCGGCCCGAGGCTGCCTCCATCTCTATGCTATCCATCGCTATGCTACGCTGACGCCTGCCTCTGCAGGCGTTAGCGTTTGTTCACTGCAGCGACAGCTGGGATCAGACGTAGAGAACGTCCGTTGTTTTTAGTACCGCGCTGATTATTAAGCAGCAGAGTCTGTATGTAAATAAATGATTTTGATTTTGAGGGAACCCCCAGGTTTTTAGTGAATTCTAGTCATTTTCCAGGTTAATAAAGGTGCGATTCCTATTGGCCTCCGTTAGGAAATGTCGCCGTTTGCTTCAGTCTTGTGCGGTTTCACGCTAGTCTCTGCCTCAGGCTTGCGAAGTCTACTACATCAACCCACTTCCACGACCCTCACCAGATCGTCGGTTCACGGTTTACCCGTGGTGGCCTCTCGAGGACTTTTTGACCAGTATCCTTCCTGTATTGATGTATTATCATCATCATTTCAGCCATAGGACGTCCACTGCTGAACATAGGTCTCCCCCAATGCTTTCCATGTTGATCGATTGGTAGCGGCCTGCGTCCAGCGCTACCCTGCAGCCCTGCTACCTTTACGATGTCGTCGGTCACCTTGTAGGTGGACGTCTCACGCTTTTTTGTATCATGTCCCACGATTGATGTATTAACATGATTGTTTCAGGCGCTAATCGAGAAGGACTGGCTGTCATTCGGGCACAAGTTCACGGCGCGCTGCGGGCACGTGGCGTGCGACGGACGCGAGCGCGCGCCTGTATTCACGCAGCTACTGGATTGCACGTGGCAGCTCACGCGGCAGCGGCCAGAGGTACTTCATATGTATATCTTTATCATTTCAGCCACATGGACGCATATGCGTCTGAAAAAAAGCGTCACATTATGTCGATGGACGATTGTGGGTCGTGAAAATGGCGGCCGGGTTCACGCAGCTGTTAGACTGCACGTGGCAGCTCACGCGGCAGCGGCCGGAGGTACTAATCCATAACTACGACCCGATCGAACTAATGGCGCAATTTCACTAGTCGATAGGGTCCGCATGCGGCGTGCGGAAGGATTCTGGAACGCATGCCACAGGGCCCGCATTCGGGGAACCGTTTTCATTCGTCGATAGGGTCCGCATGCGGCGTGTGGGAGATTTCTGGAACGCGTGCAACAGGGCCCGCAATCTGGGTGCGAAGTTTACTAAATATTGAAACAGGCATGGCGCGTCAGAAAATCTGAATGATGAATTTCATTGGTCGATAGCACGGTCAGTATACTGCATGCGGGGAATCCTCGCAGGCGTTGTACTGAACGCGTATCGACTTGGGAGCGAGCTTCACCCGGTATCCCCACAGAGGAAATGGCTATCATACCACCGACCGCCGGAGCACAATAATGCTGTTAACACGATTGTTATGGCGACAGACTTAGGTAAGAAGTAACTAACCAGGCGGACTTAGAACTATCCCTACCATTAACCAAACTGAACTGAAAAATCTGCCCTCACTGCTCTTTACCACTTGACAATACATCACAGTCATCATCATCATCATATACGCCTAGCTATGGACGGAACCGTAAGTTATTGCTCTATTGGACATTAGTCCGCGGCTCTATCCTAGGCCACACCCAAGGTCCGAGGGAAACGGTGCACCCCTCGGGTCATTTCTTTCTCATTGCTTGCCCGCGAAAAATCTTAACCAAATTATTTTGATCTTTATCACCTTATGTTAAGGTCCAAAAAAGTTAACCTTGTTCGATTAAGGGTAACCGTGAATGTTCTCAGGCCTTCCAGTTCAACGAGCGATTCCTGTTGACGCTCCACGACCACGCGCACGCGTGCCAATACGGCACCTTCGTCGGGAACTGTCAAAAAGATCGCCGGGACCTCAGGTAATCCTGTCATCCGCTTTGGGCAGAGAGAACAGGGATGTTTCCTGGGTAACAAAGTAAGAGTTTTAATTAGTCCGTCAGTTAGCTTATCAAAACCTAGTCGACACGTATTTTTCACTTTTTAAAACTAATGAAAATGTAAAGAGATAAAACGTGCCAAAGTTCTAAAGAAAAGGCCCGTGACGTCAGTAAGTGCGTAAAAGTACAGCACTTTATGACGTCGCGCGAAACTTCAATGCACTATAACTTTGTAATTATATGTTTGATTGACAATTAAAAATATACGTGTCCAATATGTTTTTATATTAAAATTGACGGATTAAAAAAATTTTTAGGAAGCTAGCCTACTGTCATCTTTAATTTCGAGCTCCTTGTTCTTCTGATTAATTTAGTTGTGAGCAGGCAAACTTGGCCTTCACTGACTGGGTTTTTATTGGCGGTCACGCTGTAGATACTGGCTACACAGGAGTTGCAGCGGTGGGAGCAACAACATGTAGGAACAGTCCTTCTTTCTTTAAAACTGTTTAACGACGCTTTAGAGTGAAAACCTCTTATATGTAAAAGAAGTAATTAATCCGCTTTTATATCCAGAACTAGCGGCCGCCCGCGACTTCGTACGCGTGGATCCCGTTTTACCTCCTTAGGGGTGGAGTTTCGTAGAATCCTTTCTAAGCAGATGCCTACGTCATAACATGTACCTGCATGCCAAATTTCAGCCCGATCCGTCCAGTGGTTTGGGCTGTGCGTTGATAGATCACTATGTCAGTCAGTCAGTCAGTCACGTTTGAATTATATATATTTAGATTGTTATATTCTGTAAGATGACCGAAATGCATAAATATGAGTAAAAATGCATTCCCGAGGTTTTCACTCTAAGGCGACGATAAACATTTGCATAATTTATGTCGCAGGCTATCGGAGAGAACGTTCTCGCTATGGGGCTACATGGCGAACCACCTCCACGAGTACAAGAATCCGTTATACAACCCCAAAGCTCACCCTGATGTCTTAAAACCGGACCTTAGCGCGCAAAGCATAAGGTAAGACCAGAGAATAATAATTATACAGGGTGGAATTTTGTAATGCCACCTGGAGGACTATATTATTCAAATTCTATTACTCAAAGGAAACATTCCTTTATTTTTGAAAAGAAATAGAACAGCATTCAAAGATTTCTAAAAATTTGTTTGCCACGCCCGGGAATCGAACCAATAAAATTTGTAAAAAATTACACTCTGTATTTTTATTGCATCGATCGTTAGGGTTAAGTTAGTATAAGGATAAAATCTCTCTAACAAACTTGATAAATGAAATGAAAGGAAAACCATGAAATCTTAAATTATTTTAATTATGCACAGAAAATTGTATGGTATAGAAGTGAATTTACGAAAAAAATTCAAAAATCTTTGAATGCAGTTCTTTTTCTTTTCAAAAATGAAGGAATGTTTTCTTTCAGTAAAATTTTCTATTTACAGTATTAAGAGTACTTTCCCTCCAGGTGGCATTACAAAATTCCACCCTGTATACTACGTGCAGAAAGTTTTCTCCGCGAAGTTATTTAAAAAATTGGCCAAGTGCGTGTCGTGCCACGCGCAGTGTAGGGTTCCGTAGTGTCCGTCGTTAAGGCCGGGNAACTTTGAATTTTTATGCCGCGAAAACTACTTGGAATTTTCAAACGGGAGTTTTACTATCATGTTTGTATAACTGAGCTCTATACGGTTCATCAAATAAATGAGAATGTCCGATTATACAGTCTCATAACATACTGTGCAGTGTGCCATAGAGGCGGGCGTCACTGTGCGTCCACTGTGCGACGGCTGGGACCGCACGGCGCTGGCTTTCAGGTCAGTGTGTGCCGCTACCGCGCCTAGATAGAGGCAACCTTGGGCCGATCGGCTGCCTCGTCCTAAAGCCAGAGGTGGAATTGTGTAAAGCAATCGTAATCGTTTGACAGTTCATAACGTACGACTATTCTGTCAAACGCTTTGTTTAACTGACTTTATCGTACGTTATGAACTGTCAAATTATTACGATTGCTTTACACAATTTCACCTCAAATCGCCACTAGAGACAGCCTCAGGTCAAGTAGCCGCCACAACCTATGGCACGATTCGTTGTGAGGCAAATTTCGTCGCCGCGGACCGAGCCACATTTTCTGGCTCGGGATGAGGTAGCCGCTCGGCCCGCGGCTGTCTCTAGTACAGCGGTTCCCAAACTTATTTAGTCTACTGCCCACTTTGAGAATAAATTATTTTTTAGCGCCCCCCCTTTTTGTAGTCAAGAGTCGAGCTCAGTCGATGTCTAAGAGTCCTCCTAGTAGATGAAGCCTCCCAAGCCTCTACACAACATCCCGATTTTTTTTCTGGGTCTCTTACCGCCCCCCTTTAAGCCTGCAGCGCCCACAAGGGGGCGTTATCGTCCACTTTGGGAAAGACCTAGTAGATACGCTACCATAGAGGCGGGCGTTAGCATGTGTTCACTGTAGCGACGGCTGGGACCGGGCGTCGTAGAGAACGTCCGTTTCTAGTACACTAATGACCACTAAACAGCAGAGGGAACCCCCCAAGTTTTTAGTGAATTCTAGTCCTCTGGTGACAAGCTACGTTCCAGGGTATTTTTTTTCCATTTGCTTCAGTCTTGTGCCGTTTCACGTCAGTCCCTGTCTCAAGCTCGCAAAGATCCACGTCTACCACATCAACCCAATAGTATCCACTATTCCGTGTGCAGTTTTGGGTCTGTCATCGGACGCGTACCCGGGTTGCGGATTCGGATCCGCATCCAGGTACTTTCTACGACCCTCACCAGATCGTCAGTTCACGGTTCACACGTGATTGCCACTCGAGGACTTTTTGACCAGTATCCTTCTTGTATTGATGTATTATCATCATCATTTCAGCCATAGGACGTCCACTGCTGAACATAGGCCTCCCCCAATGCTTTCCATGTTGATCGATTGGTAGCGGCCTGCGTCCAGCGCTACCCTGCAGCCCTGCTACCTTTACGATGTCGTCGGTCACCTTGTAGGTGGACGTCCCACGCTTTTTTGTGATTAATGTATTAACATGATTGTTTTCAGGCGCTAATCGAGAAGGACTGGTTGTCATTCGGGCACAAGTTCACGGCGCGCTGCGGGCACGTAGCGTGCGACGGTCGCGAGCGCGCGCCCGTGTTCACCCAACTTTTGGATTGCACGTGGCAGCTCACACGGCAACGGCCAGAGGTTCGTTCGTTCGTTCGTTTCAGCCGAAAGACGTCCACTGCTGGACAAAGACATCCCCCAAGGATTTCCACGAAGACCGGTCTTGCACCGCTCACTTCCTGGCACCTCCCGCGACCTTCACCAGATCGTCGGTCCACCTAGTGGGAGGCCTGCCCATGCTACGTCTTCCGGCTCGTGGTCGCCACTCAAGAACTTTCCTGCCCCAGCGGCCATCAGCTCTACGAGCTATGTCCCCGCCCACTGCCACTTGATTTTAGCGATTCTGCGGAACCTCCGGAAGAAACTCCGAGCATAGCATGCCAGAGGGATCTCATCCATAACGTCCACCTAATGAACACTGATGATCAGGCTGAAGGTGGAAGCGAGCTTCACCCGGAATGACCACTGCCGGAACAACAGACTTAGGCAAGATTAGTAACATTCTGGGTTTGAAGCACTACAACAAAGGCTGTTGAAATCGTCATAAGTATGCTCATAATTTCAGCAATTGAGGCCCTACAAATGAACACAATGTTAGAAGAGATACGGTCCACTGCTGAAAACTGCCAAGACGACTAACTCTGTATGCTCAATGAGCTGAGTTGAACCGCTGAAACGTTATCGCAAACGACTAAGGAGGTATGACGTGGACATCAGTACTGGATAGTGGCGCTGATCGAGAAGAACTGGCTATCATTCGGTCAAAAGTTCACGCAGCTTTTGAACTGCACGTGGCAGCGGCAACGGCCGGAGTTACTTCACGTGTATATCTTCATCATTTTAACCACAGAAGTGACACTACTCGACCGTTGATGGACGCATATGCGTCTAAAAAGCGTCACATATGTCGATGGACGATTGTGGGTCGTGGAAATGGCGGCCGGGTTCACGCAGCTGTTGGATTGCACGTGGCAGCTCTCGCGGCAGCGGCCGGAGGTACTAATCCATAACTAAGAAGCTCTAGGCCTGCATCTCACCTGTTGGGAAGTGATGATCAGGAGGAAGGTGGAAGCGAGCTTCACAGAGGAACTGGCTATCTTACCTCCAACCGCCGAAGCATAACAATGCTGTAAGAGTGTTTTAATATCGTCTGGTCACGGGACATGCCAATTAAGCCTTGATCACACGTACCGAGTAAACGGGCGAGACAGTAAAATGTTTACTCGGTAGAGACAGTTGGGTGAGCGAGTCACATACTCGAGCGCTCGGTCGAGCACTCGGCGTAATGTTCATACACACCGAGTACTCGGCCGAGAGCACTGTCTCGCCCGTTTGCTCGGTACGTGTGATCAAGGCTTTAGTGCAATTAGTATCACAGCTCATGCGTGAGTAGCTACTATCACCTTCGAATCGGTCACCATCATTACAGTCGTCACCATTATCTTATAGCCGGAGCCATGAGTTATTTCTCTGTTGGACATTCGTCCGCGGCTCTATCCTAGACCACCGGTCCTGGGGGAACGGTGCACTCCTCGGGTCATTTCTTTCTCATTGCTTGCCCGCGAAAAATCTTAACCAAATTATTTTGATCTTTATCACCTTATGTTAAGGTCCAAAAAAGTTAACCTTGTTCGATTAAGGGTTAATCGTGAATGTTCGCAGGCCTTCCAGTTCAACGAGCGATTCCTGTTGACGCTCCACGACCACGCGCACGCGTGCCAATACGGCACCTTCGTCGGGAACTGTCAGAAAGACCGTCGGGACCTCAGGTAACTACTTTATTTACAGCTTACTTAAGGCCTCAGCTCGAATTTAGCGGGCAGCGGGGCGGCGGCGGTAGCGGCGCGGGAGCGGCAGGATCTTATGCGTAAAATCAAATAGACCGCTTCTCGAAAACAGCGGCGCGGGAGCGGGCAGCGCACTCCTTCTTTTGCCCACAATAAATCGAGCGTTAGGAATAAATTTGAATCGAAATAAAATTGTCGCCGTTGTTCAGACATTTCGTTTGCGAATAATAACGAATATCTCGACAACACAACCCCGAACACAACACTTCGCCGCCAAAGCGCCGCGCGAGCTGCCCGCTTGTTTCGAGAACGGGTCTGCGTTGCCCGCCCCGCTCCCGCGCCGCTGCCCGCTAAATTCGAGGCTGAGGCCTAAACCTTTGTTTGTCACCTGTCATCCGCTATGGACAAAGAGAACTGTCGGTCCTTAATTTCGAGCTACTTGTTCTTCTAATTACGCTGCGAATCCAATGGTATTTTAACATTCCCCCGGGACCAACTTGGCCTTCACTGGTTGGGGTTTTATTGGCGGTCAAGCGGTAGATCCTGGCTACACAGAAGTTGCAGCGGTAGGAGTAACATGTAGGAACAGTCTTTTTTTATTTAAACCTGTTTAACGACGCTTTAGAGTGAAAACTTCTTAAGTGTAAAAGAAGTAATTTATCCGCTTTTATATCCAGAATTGTTATATTCTGTAAGATTGACCGAAATGCCTGAATATGAGTAAAAATGCATTTCCGAGGTTTTCACATTTCAAACATTTATTATGTAAGATATGGGATGTAAAAGCCTGAAATAAAGACTATATTTATTTATTATTCACTTTAAGGCGACGATAAATATTTGCATACATTATGTCACAGGCTATCGGAGCGAACGTTCTCGCTATGGGGCTACATGGCGAACCACCTCCACGAGTACAAGAATCCGTTATACAACCCCAAAGCTCACCCTGATGTCTTGAAACCGGACCTTAGCGCGCAAAGCATAAGGTAAGACCAGAGAATAATAATTATACAGGGTGGAATTTTGTAATGCCACCTGGAGGGAAAGTACTGTTAATACTGTAGATAGAAAATTTTACTCAAAGGAAACATTCCTTTATTTTTGAAAAGAAATTGAACAGCATTCAAAGATTTCTAAAAATTTGTTTGCCACGCCCGGGAATCGAACCAATAAAATTTGTAAAAAATTACACCCTGTATTTTTATTGCATCGATCGTTAGGGTTAAGTTACTATAAGGACAAAATCTCTCTAACAAACTTGATAAATCAAATGAAAGGAAAACCATATTTTAATTATGCACCGAAAATTGTATGGTACAGAAGTGAATTTTCGAAAAATTTTCAAAATCTTTTTCTTTTCAAAAATGGAGGAATTTTTTCTTTCAGTAAAATTTTCTATTTACAGTATTAAGAGTACTTTCCCTCCAGGTGGCATTACAAAATTCCACCCTGTATACTACGTGCAGAAAGTTTTCTCCGCGAAGTTATTTAAAAAATTGGCCAAGTGCGTGTCGTGCCACGCGCAGTGTAGGGTTCCGTAGTGTCCGTCGTTAACATAATATATTTCAGAAGCAAGAAATTACTTCATCTAAAGTCATTTTTTCTTATTTTCTGCTAAGAAATTTTTATTAGTTAAGAAAATTTATAATACATGACTTAAATTACTATTACTCTAAACTAACTGATCTACCTTAACCGTTATAGTTTTCCTTGAAAGTTTATGAAAAGCACTATTATTATGATTTTTTCCAGGTTTTTCAAGCCAACAGTTTAGTTTTGAGAGGGGGGGGGGACCATAACTTCGTAATTACTTGTTTGTTTGACAAATAAAAAAAATACGTGTCCAGTATTTTTTGATAATTAATGGACTAAAAGTTTTTTTAGGAAACTAGCCAATTATGTATACCCTGGACTTCTTAATCATCATTATCATTATCATCATCATCTCAGCCATAGGACGTCCACAGTGAGAGGCCACGTTTCCGAACCATAAGTCATCACTGGTAAAGCCTGGTCCGTGAGCACGTAGAATTTTGTCCAATGACCCCAAGCTAGCCATCCTTATCGCTCGCGCGTAATTATATTGCTATCGCGACTGTGCGACGCGCGCCCGCAGTGAGTGTGCGAGTGCGACAGCAACATAATTACGCGCGAGCGATAAGGATGGGTAGCTTGGGGTCATTGGACAAAATTCTACGTGCTCACGGACCAGGCTTTAACACACATTGATTGTAGACCTTAGTCTTCAGGCACTGAGCTATTTTGGACGAAAAGATGTTGCGTAGTCTTCTTAATACGAATGATGAATAATACAATTAATGAGTAATGGCCGCAGGTTCTGGCGCGGCATGTACTGCCGGCACGAGAGCGGCGTGCACCCGCGCGAGCCGCTGGGCGACCTGCTGCCCGCCGCCGTGGAGCACTGCTCCGCGCTCGAGCACCACATCAGCTACCTGGCCAGGGTGAGATAGATAAAGCCCGGTCTGTGAGCACGTAGAATTTTGTCCAATGACCTCAAGCTACCCATCCTTATCGCTCGCGCGTCGCGTTGCTGTCGCGACTGTGCGACGGGCGGCCGCAGTGAGTGTGCGAGCTTACACTGTAGATAAAGCCCGGTCTATGAGCACGTAGAATTTTGTCCAATGACCCCAAGCTACCCATCCTTATCGCTCGCGCGTCGCGTTGCTGTCGCGACTGTGCGATGGGCGGCCGCAGTGAGTGTGCGAGCTTACACTGTAGATAAAGCCCGGTCTATGAGCACGTAGAATTTTGTCCAATGACCCCAAGCTACCCATCCTTATCGCTCGCGCGTCGCGACTGTGCGACCGGCGGCTGCATTGTATGTGCGAACTTACACTGTACACCACACAAGATAAGAAGAGGAGTGGCTTCTAGATTCCAGGCTTCTTGTTCTCCTATGGTGGAGCTGCTAGACTATAAGAACCTTTGAATCCTGCTAGCGGGCTAGTAGTTGCCGTGAATCACTCCATAGCACTCTACCTACCACCATTTCAACTACCTGGCCAGGGTAAGGAATAGCTTTTAGGTACTTGTGGTGGAGCTGCTAGATTTCCAAGGATCTCTGAATCCTGCTAGCAATTGCCGCCCTTCCTTACCAATCACCTACCTGGCGCGGGTGAGCATACATAAAATCCCGTCGCCATGCAGATAGATCGTCCAATGACCCCAAGCTACCCATCCTTATCGCTCGCGCGTAATGATATTGCTGTCGCGACTGTGCGACGGGCGGCTGCATTGAGTGTGCTTACACTGTACACCACACAAGCTGCTTCTTGTTCTCCTATGGTGGAGCTGCTAGACTATAAGAACCTCTGAATCCTGCTAGCGGTTGCCGTGAAGCACTCCATAGCGTTCTACCACCACATCAATTACCTGGCGCGGGTGAGTGCTGGCTCCTGGTCTCGGCGCGAGCCGCTCGTTGACCTGCTGCCCGCCGCCGTGGAGCACTGCTCCGCGCTCGAGCACCACATCAGCTACCTGGCGCGGGTGAGCATAATAAAGTCCGGTCGCCATGCAGATAGACCGTCCAATGACCCCAAGCGCGGCTGTGCGACGGGCGGCCGCATTGAGTGATTGAGTGTGCGAGCGCGATAGCAATATAATTACGCGCGAGCGATAAGGATGGGTAGCTTGGGGTCATTGGACGAAATTCTATTTAGGACTTTAGGATACTCCGACTTTTTGTAGTGATGTAAACGAGCGACAGCATCGCTACTAACGCGAATAAGTCGCATTTGCAACGCGCTAAAGAAGTGATGCCAATCGCTACTAACGCGCTACAGCATCGCGACTGTTTCGATGCAAAAGCGCGACCAGTAGGACGACATCGAGGAGAGAACGGAGGGTAGGTGACACGGCAACTCTAGCGGGCACACAGCTAGCGACCGTATTGCGACTGTGTCGATGCGAACGCGCGACAGAATCGCTACTGCATCGCTACAAAAAAAAATTAGACCTTACACTGTATACCACACAAGATAAGAAGAGGAGTGGCTTCAAGATTTCAGCTTCTTGCGATCTCCTGTTTTGAAGCTGCTACACTTTATGAGGACTATGTTGCCAACGGTGAAGGTCGGTACTCAAGTGTTAGGCATAGTTAAAAGAGGGGTAGCTTGCTGTTCGCTAACAGTGTTCAACGGTAATCTTTATGCTTAAATTACAAAGTACTGGCGACACGTGGTCAATTCTACGCCCTCCACTACCATATCAAATACCCGACCAGGGCAAGGAGTAGCTTCTATTCTATGGTGGATCTCTGAAATCAAGAGAACCAACCAATTAAATTAAAAAAGAAGCATAAACTTCATCGAAGAAGAAATTATATTCAATTTTTATTATTTGTATAGCCTGACCAGGAACATAAAAACCCTCGCCATGTTGCGGAAAATTAATGGTACTAATTTCTTTTAATGGCTACAGTAACTGAAAACTTCATTAACAAACTTTATTTTAAATGTGCGCAATTGATTTTGTGAATTAAATTGCTAAAATCTTTTTATAGTCGTGAAAGAAAAGTGGTTCACAATGTATTAAAGTATTTGTCGAAGATAAATACTAAGGGTTCGGACAATATTTTCATTGAATAATGTTTCCGACAAGGGTTGTCAAATTGACTGACATGTTTATCGTATAGTACAGTCAACTATGAAAATTAGCTGTGGTTTGTTTCAACTACCTATTTTAAANGTGCCAACACTGATGAGAATAGATCTACCGGCCTCTAAAAGTATGTTTTTCAAAATCTCCATAACTAACCAGTATAATTTATTTATTAAGGTACAGCAACAGATTGCAAATCATGGCTTAAAAATAATGTATACAGATTGCTGTACGAGTCTGGCGGCACTCTCTCCGAGCTGGAGTGCGCGAACCACGACCACCCGCTGAAGGACGTCTCCCTCACCAAGCCCTCCAAGATCCCTCTCATCACTGAGGTAAGTTATAAAGTATGCAAAATGCAAATGACAACAAATCAGACTAAGACCACAGAATAATTAAGTACTACGTACAGAAGTTTTACTTACGGTATTTAAAAAAATGTATGCTCAATGTCATTAACAATAAGGTGTAATTTATACAAGCACCATTTTGTTGACAAACGTCAGTTTACGTCAGTGATCGGCACTGCGCCGAAGCTATAGTTCCAAAATACTGAACTGTCCTATCGATGACATTGACAGTGGGGCGCCAGCGCCACCGTCAATACCGGATCGCTGGTTCCGATTTTTGCCATGTTGGAAACCATATAGTTGAACGATGGTAGCGCCCCCCTGTCATTGAGTTTGGTGGGACAGTTCAGCGTGGGTCATCTATATAGGGCTGACTTCGGTAAAATGATGTGACGTGAGGTGCCAAACTGCGGAAAATGGCGGAGGAAATACATGATTTAGCATGAATTATCATGAATAATATTAACTACTTATTTACCACTCAGTGTCTTGAGGCAACTTAAAAAAGTACATTCTGTGTTTTTATTATTATTTAGGCAGTTAAATACTGCACAGTATTTAGTACACCATTTTCTTCCATCATACACAAGAATGCGCGTGCGTGAGTCAATGTTCGCTCGTATGTGAGGCCTTGTCGAATCGTATCCTGTAGGTGGGCCATCGTGCGTGTTTTGTTTTCGATGTAAACTCGCGGAGATGAATAGGCCTGCTAAGACTAAGGTTAGCAATCCGGTTTCTTACGTGCCTACTGCGTCGGCATCACGCCACCCGATGGGCGTAACTCAAATCTCGCGCGAGCCTCACCTCCGCGTTCCCGCTAACGGTTTTTCGCGGAAAAACTTGACCTTCATTGGTTGGGTTTTTCTGGCGGTCAAGCTGTAGATCCTGGCTACACAGGAGTTGCAGTGGTGGGAACGAGAGGTGGGAATAGTCCCGTTAACGGTTTTCGCGGTCTAGAATGTTCTATCGTCGCTGCGACCATATAATAATATGTAGATCGTTTCATATACGAAGACGCGCCCCACCATTCTTCCGCTAATATTTGAGTGTTATCGGTACACGCTAAACTATCCATGAGTGCACACGCACACTACAATAATGACGCTCGGATTGCTCGGATCAACTCCTCGAAACCCGCGCTTCACTCGACCAAAAATTGGTGGGGCGCGTCAAACGATCTATACTGGTGAGTAAATCATTAGTTTGAACGCGATTACCGCGCCGTGTCGTTTCTCGCTTCGCGGTCATAGTTGGCTTAGGACACTGCGTTAGTTTGGGACCAAAAACAGACTTAAAAATTGGCCAAGTGCGTGTCGTACCACGCGCAGTGTAGGGTTCCGTAGTGTCCTTCGTTGCCACAATATATTTCAGAAGCAAGCAATTACTTCATCTAAAGTCACTTTTAATATTTTCGTCTAAGGAATTAGGTATGAAATTTTATAATACATGAGTAAAACGACAATCTCTCTAGTGCCAGTAGTTTCCAAGCAAAACCTCGGACAGACAGACATATCGAAACTATAAATTTAATTAAATTAAAATTAAATAATTATTTATTTCAATCACATTGGGATCATATTAGTTTAGGTTAGTTTACACTCAAATTTAAAATTAAATAAATCAATAAAATATATCCAACATTACAATTTAAATATTACATTAATTTCAATAATGTAATGGTTATTTTAAATTAGGCAGCACATGAATCATGCAATAATGATTCATGTACTGCTGACAGTCATAACGATCAGAGAATAGCCTCAGGATACTGTTTGAGCTCCCCCAGGTCCGGCACACCAGGGATGCGCACCTTTTTCGCATTGCTGTGTAAAAACAATCTACGCCGAATTCGGCAACCATCCCGAATAAAAACGTTTATTGATTGTTGTGTTGCCTTGTCTCAGAGGGCGGACGACGGCATTCCCGCCAGCCTGGCGGCTTTGGACGCGGAGGTGGGCAGCGTGGCGCTGGACTGGCGCAGCATCAAGCACGTCACCGAGTGCTCCTGCTCCACGCCGCTCGACCACTTCAGCAGGAAGGTAACTGAGGACCGTGGTCTCAGAGGCCACAGCATCCCGCCAGCCTGGCGCTGGACTGGCGCAGCATCAAGCACGTCACCGAGTGCTCCTGCTCCACGCCGCTCGACCACTTCAGCAGGAAGGTAACTGAGGACCGTGGTCTCAGAGGCCACAGCATCCCGCCAGCCTGGCGCTGGACTGGCGCAGCATCAAGCACGTCACCGAGTGCTCCTGCTCCACGCCGCTCGACCACTTCAGCAGGAAGGTAACTGAGGACCGTGGTCTCAGAGGCCACAGCATCCCGCCAGCCTGGCGCTGGACTGGCGCAGCATCAAGCACGTCACCGAGTGCTCCTGCTCCACGCCGCTCGACCACTTCAGCAGGAAGGTAACTGAGGACCGTGGTCTCAGAGGCCACAGCATCCCGCCAGCCTGGCGCTGGACTGGCGCAGCATCAAGCACGTCACCGAGTGCTCCTGCTCCACGCCGCTCGACCACTTCAGCAGGAAGGTAACTGAGGACCGTGGTCTCAGAGGCCACAGCATCCCGCCAGCCTGGCGCTGGACTGGCGCAGCATCAAGCACGTCACCGAGTGCTCCTGCTCCACGCCGCTCGACCACTTCAGCAGGAAGGTAACTGAGGACCGTGGTCTCAGAGGCCACAGCATCCCGCCAGCCTGGCGCTGGACTGGCGCAGCATCAAGCACGTCACCGAGTGCTCCTGCTCCACGCCGCTCGACCACTTCAGCAGGAAGGTAACTGAGGACCGTGGTCTCAGAGGCCACAGCATCCCGCCAGCCTGGCGCTGGACTGGCGCAGCATCAAGCACGTCACCGAGTGCTCCTGCTCCACGCCGCTCGACCACTTCAGCAGGAAGGTAACTGAGGACCGTGGTCTCAGAGGCCACAGCATCCCGCCAGCCTGGCGCTGGACTGGCGCAGCATCAAGCACGTCACCGAGTGCTCCTGCTCCACGCCGCTCGACCACTTCAGCAGGAAGGTAACTGAGGACCGTGGTCTCAGAGGCCACAGCATCCCGCCAGCCTGGCGGCGCTGGATATATGGGATCCATAAAATACACCTAAAGCCAGTGGACAAATGTCTCGCGACGTGTTGCCAACGACACCGGCGAAGTGATGTGACGTTGCCAAACTTCACTCGACATGTTATGCGACAGGCAGATATTATGATATCGCAGGCACCTCCCGCGACCTTCACCAGATCGTCGGTCCACCTAGTGGGAGGCCTGCCCACGCCACGTCTTCCGGCTCGTGGTCGCTACTCAAGAACTTTCCTGCCCCCAGCGGCCATCTGCCCATCCATCTACTCTGCTTTGTACGTCAACATTATTTTAGCAATGAAATATAGACATTGCTGCCTTCAATTTAAAGTCTGTTGTCGCTTGCAGCACCACTATTGGGGCTGTCGTGCCTTCGCGCCAATGTAGACACTCTCCCTTTGACTTAAAGCAGACTGTTGCTTGCAGCACCACGGCTCCCACCCCGTGCCAATGTAGACACACGCTTTGACTTTAAGAGCGCTTTCACATTAGGGCGTTAGTAGCGCGACTGCAGCGCGTCAGCGGCGTTTTTATAATGTGGAGGCATGCATCCGCTGTCACATAGTATGAAATTTTCGGCAGCGCGTCTGTCGCGCGTTTGTCGCGCTGCTAAATCGTCTAAATCGCATATGAAAGCGCTCAAAGCCGGTTGTCGCTTGCAGCACCACTGCTGGGGCTGCGGCCGCTGCGTGTGCGCGCGGGCGCCGCTCCCCGCGCTAATGTAGACACTCCCCCTTTGACTGAAGGCCGGTTGTCGCTTGCAGCACCACTGCTGGGGCTGCGGCCGCTGCGTGTGCACGCGCTGCGTGTGCGCGCGGGCGCCGCTCCCCGCGCTGGCCTCGCCCCGCGCGGCGCCGCTGTGTGCCGCGTGCGCGCCGCAACACGCCACACCCGCGCCAGGTAAGAATTCAAGAATAGACAGTTTGACACCACACCCCAATAATTCGAAACCACAACTGTTTTAAAAAGACCCTTCATTCTGGTCTTAAAAACTTAATTTATTTTAAATTACCTGTAAATTACGATTTTTGTTCGCATTGTAATTGAAAAATGTTGTTTAATTGAGTTGACAAAATAGTGACGTCACTTGCTTGTAGTGCCATACAAAATCTATGAGAGAGTTTCGTTTTGACAGTTTTAAAAAGTACATCAATTGACTGTGGTGTCAACTATTTTGAATGAGGAATATTTGTAAAGCCCGGTCGCCGAGCACGTAGAGCCAATTTCTTCGACGATGGTGCGACGGGCGGCCGCAGTGAGTATGCGAGCGCGACAGCAGTATAAATACGCGCGAGCGATAAGGATGCGTAGCTTGGGGTCATTGGACAAAATTCTACGTGCTCGGCGACCGGACTATAGTAACGGCACTGAAACCCAGCGTCGCGTCGTGGCATTCCTTACCCTGGGCCACGGCATTTGCTGAGTAGGATGCCATTGCGATGGTTATGTTTTATGTGTTACCTCTGTCTTTTTATTTACCTTTATTTGTCTGTGTGTGATGTCCGTCCATAGCAATAAATGTTTCTTTATTTCTGTCTATTTGCGCGAGCCGAATTATATCGGTGTCAGTCTGGCCACAACAGCCGAGAAACGCTGGTTCGAACCCCGCTGCCGCTGGACAATTGTGGTATTTATGGTGGACTTAATTTGTTTTGCATAATTTATAATATTCTTTCATTTATTTATTGGGCTTTCAACATAAGATACAGTATTCAACACAAAAAAAAGGTTTTTAACAGAAATACCGACTTACTTGACACTTATCGTTGTAATTTGACAAAAAAAATACATTTTATTTCGCTTAATCTGATGTACGAGCAGTTTTCTAAAAATACTTTCAAATATGTTCATAAAATTCATCATCATCATCATCATAATTTCAGCCATAGGACGTCCACTGCTGAACATAGGCCTCCCCCAATGCTTTCCACGTTGATCGATTGGTAGCGGCCTGCGTCCAGCGCTTCCCTGCTACCTTTACGATGTCGTCGGTCCACCTTGTAGGTGGACGTCCCACACTGCTTTCTTTCTTTTCCGGTACGCGGCCTCCATTCCAGAACCTTTCTGCCCTGCATAAAATAATTACTTTCAATTCTTAAACACGTTTTTAATTCCATATAGAGATTGTCCTCTTATTACAATAACTACTAATTTTACGTTTTCAGTTTTCAAAAATAACCATTTGTTTCTTTCTTTTTCAGATATAGTCACAACAGCAAACTAAGATTCGAATATAGAAAATCGTGTACATAATTATGAAGAAACTTGCTTATTCTACGGATGTTTTTGAACAAATGTTTGAAAAGAATTCGTGTAAAAATACGTCCTACAGTAATGCATTTACTGATAATCCAGCATATTAGTTCTTGCGATTAATACCAGTAAATTGTAGACTTTATTTTTAATGATTTCTCCAAATAAAACTACTTTGATGTTTTGTGTGTATATCTGCCACGATTCTTCCAAAGATTTTGCACATAGCAACACAATTTATGACGTCATGTCACTTGTTTGTCAAATCAATGGACCTCTAACTAAAAGTACTAAAAACTAATTTAAGTGTAGTTACTGTGTTTTGGAACCATTCTCTAATGGACTCAGCCCCCCAATTAGACAATTGAAATGTTGAGCCAAACTTTGACCTAATCCAATGTAGAAGCATCATAGCGCTGAGTGTGAGTTTACATCAAACGTTCTCACTAGTGAGCGCGTTAAAGAAATACATATGTATATGAAAATTTTAGTTCTTGAAAGTTTCGGCTAGGGGCGCTGTACAATCTTACGCAGTACAATTTTACGCGGTCGACATCGAATGCATTTGACGTAAACTCACACTACGCTAGACGTCGCGTCGTAGCCACTTAGAATAAGGATGCCAAAATATTGGATAATTTGTATTCAGATCAATTTTGTGGTCTCTTTATTGTAAATAGATTTTTGCTATGTTTTTTTTTAATTAGGACATAAATTATGATGCAATATTATTCACATACTTCGATTATCATTTCTGTGGTGGTCAGTCAGTCAACTGCTGCATTCATTTGTATTAAAGTTACGGCCAAACCAACGCGTGTAGCTCGCGTCAGCAATGGCGATCATTGCGCGTGCATAGATCGCCGCGACCAATGACGTTGATGTGAACGCATCGCTACAAATTCATACACGACGTCTGGATCACCATCGCGCACAGAGACTGCACGCGTTGGTTTGGCCGAACCTTAAAAAGATAAAAATGCGAACATTTTCAATATATTTTTTCTCATTCCATGTAAATATAATTACGTTTATGTACATCGTAAGTTTTTTTATCATTTAATAGAGACTAAGATTGTTTTTTATTTGTGATATTTAATAATAAATAGCTTGATTAAAAAAACTGGTAATCACTCTGTATAACATTGCAATGGTAGGAACTAGGATTGATATAAAAAGACATGACAAGTTTATCTTACGGAATTCGGCGGGGTAAGCAACTGGTTACTAATTGAACAATAGCAATGCGACTGTTACTAATGTATGGAAACTAGCGCCATCTGCAATGAACGCGACGCTGTCATTAATTGGCGCTGCAGTCGCGTTGCTATAGTACATAGCAACCTGTTGCTATGATCTGCAATAAGCATGCGGTATATAAAAGAAATATTAAGTTAATTTGCAAATCATATTACACCAAAGGTTTCGCTAAAGATGAGGCTTGAAAACTGAACGATCGATGTATATGTAATGGTAAAAAACGAGTTTAAGTTCAAATTATATATTTATATAAATGTAAATATTATATACTATTGAAATTGTTACAGTTAATTGCTGCACAGTGTACAATATATGTGTAAAACTGGTACAACTGGTGTTTCATTTCTTCAAAACTATGTATTGACTTGTTTTTTTTTTTTAATACTAAAACGAAAGGAAACTGTCCCACCCTTGACATTGACAGGGAGGCGCCACCGTCAATATTGGATCGCTGGTTCCGATTTTTGCCACGTTGGAAACTTTAGGTAGTCGAACGCTGGTGGCGCCCTCCTGTCAATGTGTTTGGTGGGACAGTTCAGTGTAGTTCATCTGTAAGCGTGACACGCATAAAGAGTGATTCACGGTCTTCTCTTGTCTACATTTGTGAGTGGCCAAGCTAAAGTAGTAGGTATTTATTGTGTAGCTAGAATTTTAATTTCAAATTCACATACTACACTAATTGACTGTGTACCTACCATCTACCAACAGTAATAAATGTAATTGGTTACAATAAATAAACCTAACAAAGCTATAAAATTTTGATTGACTCGAAGATAGGCTAACGATCAAGTATTCGTTATTTCTGGCTGGAACCTCGTCAAATCACGATGGATATTGTTCCAATTATTCTTCTTGCTTTTGTGAGTTCGGTTCTGGGTGCCTTGAGCAACGAGCGGGATACCATAGACAAAAGTAAATTGATGGGAGTGGACGCCATACACGATAATAATATTAAAATAGACAAGGACACTATTATCACGCGTAATTTGAAGTTGGAAAAGAAAAATCGAGCTAAAAATGGTAAGGAAAAAAATTGTAAGCGACGAGGGTTGCCTAGTTACAGTCAGGTTTCAGATAAACGGTATTAGTGTACAAATCTAGTGCCTAAGGAGCTCTGATGGAAGAGCAGTCGCCCGGCAAGCGAAAGGTCGTGGGTTCGATTCCCGCCTTAGGCAGTTCGATTTTTTTAGGTTACGAGTAATTTACCATTAATAAAAACAAAATATTTTAAGCTGCATGTCACTTCTTGAAAATTCTTACAAGCCGGCGCTATTTTGACACCAACTTAAGCAAGTGCTTACTGAAAAGAACCGCTCATTTTATTTTCTTATTTAAGTGGCGCATCATCGACAACCGGAGGAAGAAAAGGACCCTGATTGGTCGTACGCCGCTATTCCGCAAGAGCTATCCGACCACGTAAACGATTTTAAGCGTAACATGACGGAGTGCCTTAAAGAAGTGCAGGCCAAAGACAAGAGAACCGTCAAAAGGCTCTCCCCTAAAACGGAATCTCCGGTTCACGGGGAATGCCTCATCGCCTGCGTTCTTAAACGCAATGGCGTCATAGAGAAAAGCAAGATTAATAAAGGTAAATTGAAAAAGGTCAATTTTTGAAATTTTTGAAACTGCCTCGAAACTTTGTTGTCCTTTAGCTGTCCGCATACGATTTTATTATTAGTTTGACCTGAATTATTTTTATCTTTTGTAGGAAATTTAATTAGTTTAGTGAGTAAATTCTACGCCAAAGAGACAAAGATGATGAAGAAGTTGGAGAAGAATTTGGATCGGTGCATTGAAATGAGCGTGCGATTCCAAGACGACGAATGCAAACTAGCTTCTCATCTTAACGATTGTACAAACGATCTCATGGCGAGCAATAAACACAAAGTTGTTGTAAATTACTGATATTATTAAAGGAAAAGCTATGTTAATGTAAATGCGTTTTTTTTTTCAATCACGACAGCAGACCCGGTTAAGCTAACTGCGCATCTCACTGGAATGCGATTATCCTTTGAAATCATTCTCAAATCTCCCCGCGCTTGCTCGTCCTTAGCCATCTTTAGCATACTCTCTCTCATCTGTGTCTGTGATCTTTAGCGCGATGTTAATATTAACTTTATGGTTCCAAATCGATTATAGCGACATCATTTATCGATCGGAAATAAATCATTCAATTAATCAATACGATGATCTTACCGACAGAACAACTCTATATTATATAATCTGTGGGACGCTTACTCACGTCAAAGTCGTCAAATGCCATTTTTTTGACGTTGGCAGTGTTGCCAGAAGGTTACTTTTGTAACCTTTTAGGTTACTTTTGAACTGCATTGGTTACTTTTAGGTTACACTAATGAAAAGGTTACTTTTAGGTGATTTTTCAGAAATTGTAGAATTAACTTTTACAGGTTATTCAGTAAAAAAATATTAATAGTGACAATTTCAAAATTATGTAATATACTTTGATTTAATGAATTTGATTTATTATTTGTTAAAAAAATGAGTTTTAGCGAATGTTTTTTGATAATAAAACGCAAATCCAGGAAACGTTTTTATACGACCGGTCACTTTTCGGTCTTCATGGAATGGTCAAAATTTCGAATTAATTTAGGTAAAAGATAGATAGATGATCAATTGTATTCATTTTCGCTCCGCAAATGTATGAAGGTTACTTTTTATTCAAAAAGGTTACTTTTTTTTATATTTCTGGTAATTTCTGACAAGACCCGACTGGCAACACTGGACGTTGGTTTCTTTCTTTCGCACAAAAATGGTTGCTTGTGGTTGCATCGTGTGTGGTTTATTAATTTTTTGGTCGAAATTGGGATTTCTGCTTTGCGGGTTTTTTACGAGATAATTTTCTAAGATATGTTTTTCTATCAGCCGTGTTTGGTTAACGGTAAAGGCGATTTATATTTTGGCATTCAGCAGGTTTGGCCTGGCNTTAATTTTTTGGTCGAAATTGGGATTTCTGCTTTGCGGGTTTTTTACGAGATAATTTTCTAAGATATGTTTTTCTATCAGCCGTGTTTGGTTAACGGTAAAGGCGATTTATATTTTGGCATTCAGCAGGTTTGGCCTGGCTGAAATAGGTTAAGTTTCTTCTCGTGCATCATCTTTCATACTGTATACTGTATTTTACAGTCATTATATTTGGAGAAGATTTTTTAAACGTTGCCACTCGTTTTTTCATATACAAACAAGGTTACCCAATACTTTTCTGCAAATTCATCGAAATTTTTGAAGTTATCATGAATATGTGTTTCCACATTATATGGCTTTGGCTCCTTTCTGGCTAACTGGCATGTAGTCAACCACTTTGATGGAGACCACACTGTTGTATTTCGCACTGAATTTTCAATCGTTGCGTGTATGCTATCCATGGTCATTTCTGTATGTCCTGGAAGCAAATAGTTTTTTGAAACTAGCAGTGCATTATGTATTTCCGTAAGCACTAATTTGTTTTTATTTTAGCCAGGACACGAATCCGTGTTTTAACAGTGCCTCGCTGATCGCAGGTATCTGTAAATATCAATTTAGTATTGTTGCTATTTCGTTTCCATCTCTCTTTCTCTCACTTTCTCCCCAAACATAGCAACAACCGTTTCTTATCATGCTTTCATAAAAACACAAATGAAATTTTACACTGTATTTTCTTGAATAAAATATGACATGCTGTTCCATAAAGTGTATTTAGAACCTTTTGCAAATCGAAAGATGTACACATTATAGAAGAATTCTTTTTTGTTATTTCACGATGACACCATTTTTTTTAGGCTTTCTAATATTTTTCACCTCAATGGGTAGATACAACCTGGAACTATCTTTCATTGTATCGTTTTATTGTTAAAGATTTCATTTAATAATGCTTCATTTTTTTAATGTTGCAGTTTTTTGCAATCTGTATACCTTGTTCATACTATTTTTTAGTTTCCTTATCAAATCCTTGTTTTTCTGATCACTCTCTTGTTTTAAAGTCTCGGACACAAACTTTCCTGAATAATTGGTTGGAGTCATAACATTTGCATATGAAAGGTGGATCTGGCAGATTTAAAGTCTGCCCTGGTTATAAAAAATTTTAGATACTGCATCCATCACAAACTACTGTACTGATTTGGTTGCTGCCCGTAGTAGGAATTTAGGAATGCACATTTTCCATAGTCAGTTTTGCTCTAAAGTTTCCTTGTGCTATGGCAACGTGGTAGAAATTAACCTGCTCAAATAAGCCGAATGATCAGGCAGTTTCAGGAGCAGTTGGTTTTTTTGGCAATCAAATGTAATTGTTAAAATATTTTCATTTTCTTCTCGTTAAAAGACTTTCAGTTTTCAGGTGTTCTTGCAATGAAATGCAGGTGGAACAAACATTTGTTGTCCTTCTGTACCGAGTGGTATGAGGCATTATCCATAACGATAACAGTTTGGTGGTTTTAGCAATAATTTTTCTCTAGTTCATTTGCTGATGTATACAAAATTCATATTGCTATGATAATTTCCGGTTTTTCTTTTAGATTTAGGCCGGGGTGGCATGCCTGAATGGTCTGGTCATTAGGCAGGCATAGCCTGGAATCTTAAATAGGGAACCATTACTCAATGGCAGTCGCTGCCTGTTAAATAAAATAAATAAATTCATAAAATTCATTTATTTTGCAAATAGGCTTTAAAAAAGCGCTTTTACATAAATATATTAAATCAGACTTTTTCGGATGAATGACTGTTCCATTGAAGAAACTGAGAAATTGTCCATTGTCAACTTTATCGTTTAAAAAAAGCGCTTTTACATAAATATATTAAATCAGACTTTTTCGGATGAATGACTGTTCCATTGAAGAAACTGAGAAATTGTCCATTGTCAACTTTATCGTTTAACAAACTGTTGTACGGGGTCTCGGAGTTGAGGTTTGTTTTAAAAAACACTTTGTTCAGAATTAAGGTTTATCAGCACAAAATACCCAGCAACATATTAAAACTATTATGTTTGGCTTTATATCGGCCTGGTGGCGTGAGGCGTCTACCAGAAATTGCCGGATGTTGATTGAATATAATAAGTCGTTTGTAGCTGATCCAGCAGTTAAATTGTAACATTTATACCTACTCTGTTATCTAATGTACTTATTTAGGTATTGTAATTATGTGTGATGGCATGTTGGATGATATAACTCCTCTCTCCTTAAGTTCGAAATCATCCGATTGCTTTATTAGAATCGGAGGGTTTCGATTGCACATATTTGGATATATTTTCTTAATTTTATAAAACACAATTAGACTATAGCTAATACAATTATTACATACAGAATTACAGTTCCTACACTGACACTTTTTACATTGATCACTGTATCATTTTCCACTTGTTTTAGCAATAACTTTTCTCTAGTCCAGAGCTTCCCAAACATATTTGTACTGTGACCCTAGGCACTTTGCCATTTTTTACGACGCCCCTCAACCTATTCCCCAAAAATACTTTCCAATTTTAGAACCAGCCTAGTAACAGGTTATCAGAAAAACTATTTAGACATTTATTTTTTTTACTAGAAAAAGCATAAAAATAAAAAGAGATATTTAGGAAAGATATTAAAGCCAGAAAGGCTGTCTAATGTGAAGGATGCGCTTGCTTTTCTGAGCATAGCTTCTGAGACCGGGGCTCCAGTTTGGAAATTGCCACTCTCATTTCCTTTTCTACGTCTATCTTTGACCTGTACTTGTTATTTATTACTGCAACTGCAGAAAAGACTGTTTCCCACAAGAACGAAGTCGCAAATGCAGCTGCATTCGCCATTTTACTACTTATTTTGCATATCAATTTTGGGTAAATACTGGTAAATCTATGGAAGCCTACAATTCGTATAAGTTTGATCTTGCAAACCCGGTCATAATAGCTCCAGTCACTGCGCCACGATTTACGTCCATATCAGGGTTTGAATTACTAGAACTGAACTTTAGAGCTCCAACTCTAAATTACACATTGCATTTTATGGTAAATGTTAATTGCAAGCTTACCTTTATCAATAGTACCTACATCCCATTGATCTGTTATGGTTATTGATGATTTTAGTTTGTTAAATTTCTCCTAATTTCTGATAATAACTAGGAATAATAAAATAATATTTTGGTTATCGTGTTACACAAGATTACCTGTAAGGCATCCCATATTATTTAGTTGCAAGTCCTGCTAAATAAAAGATTTGGCTTGCAAACATCTTCATTTAATTCTTTCAACATTTTCCATTAAGACATGTATTTTCTCATAATATTCTAAATTCTTAGTCAGTAAATTGTTTCTTATACATTTTAATAAGTGTGGTGGGTCATATTAAGGGTACCACATCTTGGTCATTTGTCAAAAACACATTTCCATTTGGTTGAATGGTTGAAATTAATTTTGTTTTAAATTGTTTGAATCTGTCTAAAATACAATTAACTAGATAACGCTTGTTACTTTAGCGATTCGTGAGCTGTTCCCAACAAATTACTTACATAGTTATCACTGGTAACTGGCATGTGCCTTAACAATTGTTCCGCTTCACCACAGGTGACAAAAAGTAGTGAAGTTTTTGCACATTATCTAGCGATGAATTTTGGCGAACAAGAGAGATGAACAAATCATGAAATGTTGTCCACTCTGTATACTTGCCGGAAAATATTGGAATAACTATCTAAATCTCAAGTCGGGTTTTTCTTGTGGGGTTCTGAGGGTATGGCTTAATCAATAGTCGCCCAGAGGAATTGGAATGGGTCCACTGCTGTCGGCGTCGTCATCATCATTAGATATGGGGACATGGGAGTGTTTCCATTCATTCCCTGTAGAATGAGACTGGCCAAAATCAACCTGCCCTTCAAAACAGGCGGTTAGTTTGAAGTGAGACACCTTGGCATACATTGCCCTGGCAGCCTCATAAATCTGACTTTTGTCTTGAGCGTTTAAACTTGAAGTCCAAAACGCATTCCTGGCTCCCCCTGATCCCAGAGTTGGAGGGGATTTTAAATCAATTAGGCAAGCCATCAAGTAGCAGATCATTTCATTTCCTTTGGCCCCTAGGTCTCCGTGGTAATTCTGGTTCACTAATCGACAATACGGAAACAGTTTGACGTCCTTTTGAGAGCTTATCAAGGAACACTGAGACACTCTTAGAGACACTATTCTTCTGACACTTGGTAAAAGTTCAGGGTAAGATAGCCATTCTAATGTCTCTCTCTCTGTCTTATTAAAAAGGGTCTTTAAAGTGACAAACAAAGTGATCAAAGGGAGCCCAGATCCGGCAATATGAGTCATGCAGGTCGCTCTAAGCATAGCCTCCAGCCCCACATTTTGTTGATCTAACAGACCCACTGGTTGGTCAGAAGGTCCAACGGTACTCACCTGAAGTAACCACAATGCTATTGTGTAAAGTTCTCTGCTGGCTTGGTGGGCGGATGACAAGATTTGCTCCAAGGATCCATTTAATCCACCTTGGGTTGGTCAGAAGGTCCAACGGTACTCACCTGAAGTAACCACAATGCTATTGTGTAAAGTTCTCTGCTGGCTTGGTGGGCGGATGACAAGATTTGCTCCAAGGATCCATTTAATCCACCACAAGGGGGAGGAATTATCATCCCGAAGGAATTTTGAACCATGTCGGTATAATGCTTATGAATGTTGGCACGAGACAAGGCGGCTATAAGGTCATCACTCCGTTTGGTGATTCGTCTCATCATGAACATTATGAGGAAAAATGCTGTGTGATGAAGGCTCCTATATGCATCCATGGTGAAGGTGTCCTCCTGAGCTGTCAACTGCAAAAAGGCGGTGGCAACTGCAGCTTTAAAGTTTTTCACATCCTCCACTGTGGTTTCTTTCAGTTGAGGTTGAGTCTTCCCGTAATCCTGACCCCCTCCTTCTAGAGGCTGATCCTCTGTAACCAATCCGTCCGCCAGGGGTTCAATTGGAGTCTCCTCTACGTCTGGTTCCTCCGAGACGGAGTCATCCACTGTGGTGGATTGATCTATGAATCTTTTGTAGACCTCTTCTAAATTGGAGGGAACTTTGTATGTGGACAAAGATCTCTCTCCCTTCGGGTCAAACTCAAAGAGATCTCTTCTAGAAGAGTCATAAATGGATGGGGTGGTGGCCACCAGTTGGACGAACAGGCTGCCGACGTTAGTCATTGATGATATTTCTCCAAAATAAATCAGATAAAAGGCTTTCAGGTTGTTTAGCCTCTCCGTTATACTTACATCTGGTCTTTTAAGTTTTTCGAAGTCTCTTTTCACATAACTATCATCCCATGTCCAAATGGTTTTTCTATCAAGATCCCTGAAATCAGGATTTCCCTTGACAAAGTCATCGTAGAGGTTAAGAGGGTGATCACGTTTCATGGACATTTTTAAGAGCTAAGAGGTCAATCAGGAAGTATGTGATTCCAGAAAATATGTGTATGTTTTGTATTAATTTTTTCCCTTTTAATTAACCACCTAGGATATATACATAATTACGTTGTATCGTATCTTTGAAAGCATTACTGAATTAGTAACATTTATAGCCGGGACATTACCTTGCTTACTTGATTCTCCTACAGACAGTGGTGACAATTTATTTAAAGCATAACGTAACACACTTTTATAATCAAAGTAAGCATCCTCTGTAGTCTCATAAATCTCCTCGTCAACATAAAGAATATAAAATTCATTATCAGAATCTGCCTGCCTAACTATTGAGGTATGATTTCCACTGCTGTTCAAGAGTCTAACCGCGTTTGAACTTAAACATCGGATAACCGTTCTTTCGGAGATTTTTTAAAGTTAATTAATCCCCGTGATATTTGGCTTTTAATGTCCGACTATTACCTTAATTAATTGCTCCATAGTTCTATACACCTGACGTCGCTCATGTTGGATTCATCGTTATTAAAATATTGGCAGGAGGAACTTCCTTAACAACTTCTTCAAGGTTTTTAAAATATTGAGCAATTGATTCAAGAGACACGGCGGCTCTTGCATTTTCATATTTGTAGCTACTCGTTGAGAATATTCAGACTTGTCCTCCCCCAACTTTTCTTTAGTAAGTAATGAACTGAATCTTGAATTTGTGATAGCATTTCTACAAAATGGCTCGGATTGCCAATTCCGACCTGCAAACTCACTACATTTTATTATTTCATATATTTCTTCACTTATTATTGTTGTTATAATTTTCGATACTTTTCCAATGTCTTCCACTCGTGGATGCGATATAATGAAATTATTTTCTTGTGACGAATTCTTCTGGGTCCATAACTATTATTGTTATGGGGTTTTATTAATAAAGAGCCATGATCTTCTTTAACTTGCTTGTTTACTGCAATCTTACACATGCAAAATATTATTAATACAAAGGAGCACATCAAAACAAAACATTTCATTCGGCCATTTTTCCACAGAGTAAAGCATAGACAATAGAGCTAGTTTTTTAAACTCTAAACCAGGGGTCGGCAAGTAGTTTTAAGTAGGGTCCGGATATTGCTCGAAAATTTTTAAAAGGTCCAGAAAAAAAAAACAACTGATAATAATTAAGTACAGCTTATTACCTAAAATTAGTGTGAAAAATTGCATCGGCGGTCTTGAGCCAGGTTTTTAAAGTTTGGTTCTCGTGAAGAACAGCTAATTCGAAGAGTGTCTTCTAAGTGAGCGTCTGTTAATCTCGAACGATATTTGTTTTTCAAAAAATTCATTTTTGATAAAGATGTTTCGTATATGTATGTCGAGCCAAACATAGTGGCCAAATTGATAGCAAGTTTTTTGCAATTTTGATATTTTTCTGGGACATGTTTGACCCAAAATTCTTCAGTTGACACCTTTTTATATATTTGCAAAGACACATCTTCTTGCAGATCGATTATTTCCATTTGAAGTGATGGCTTTGGCAGATAAAATAACTTGGCAGCCACATCTGTCCATTCGGCTGCTGCATCAACTTTAAAGGGTGACTTAAGAACAGAGATAGCTTGCCCATCTCTGCAAAGTCTTGGAATCTTGTGGCAAATTCGTTGCTAAGATCGGCCAAAAATTTTGTAAACACTGCAACGTCTTCTTCAGATTTCTCCTTATTATATTCCAGAATTGTCGGAAAATGAACAAATTCTTGTCTTGCAATATCTTTTTCAAAGATATCCAGCTTACGACGAAAAGCAGACACGCTGTATCAGATCACATATTAATTTTCCATTTCCTTGTAACTCTGTGTTGAGCGCATTTAGATACTACCACTTTATCGAGGTGGTAAATTAAAAATAAATAACTTACTTAATTTGACCCTTCTACGTAGAATTATTATTTTCTAAAAAAAATTTTATTACACAGTGGCCACATGTGATGTGAATTACAAAATGAGAGGTATAATAAAAAAATATGTATTACACATATTTAACTCGTTATAAGTAAAAATAATTAATATTACATGATCTTTCCATTAATTCCTTCAGATGTTCTTCTTGCTCGAGTTTTATCACCCGGCAGAACTCATCACCTTGACACGAACTCTCCCAGTTATTTTTATTTACACCAATTTAATCGTATTACTTTATTGCACAGCACTGCCTTAAGGCAGCACTGGCAGGGTCGCCATGTAATGTGGGGACCGGGAGTTGTCAATGAAAAAGTTAATACTGTGTGATGCGAGTATATTTGTGTGTCAATTTACACAGCAACATCAAATATA